ACGAAGCTTACGCTACGAAAAACTTGGTCGTTGAAGCGCTTAAAAGTTTGTGCGGCATTCTTTAGACCTAAGAGTATGAGCAGAAACTCGAATAAACCAAATGGAATCGTTACGATAGTTTTAGCGATGGCCGCTTCGGTTACCGAAATTTGCTCGTAGCCACGCACCGTCGATATTGCTGAAAACGCTTTTACCTGCCAGACTAGCGACGAGATCCCCGATATGTGGGATAAGATAGCGATAAGGTGTACTTAATTTGTTTAGGAAACAATAATCGCCGTAGGGACGCCAGCCCCCATAGTCCTCTTCGGAACTATGTGCAGTGGTGACGCCCATGGGCTGTTGCATGGTCTGATGAACCGAGCTAAAGCATGTGATCAAATTCAGCTCTTGAGGCACGTAACTTGTCGGAGGCGATTCGTCTTGGTCCGTCACTCATTGGCTGACCGAACATGATAATGTGATGAGCGACCTCTGTCGTCAAAGGGCGGAAGCTCTGCAGCTGGTCATACCAGTCGCGGGTATAGACATTATGTTCGCACACTCTGAAGGCACATCGGCGATTCGAAAAACGGGATTGATTCCCATGGCGTTTGAAATAACGCCTATCAAACCCTAGTTTAATACGGCTGTCTAAAAGTCTGTGGCAACCAGCATCAACAAGCAACCCGAAATGTCGGAGGAAGCCGATACCGATAACTGCGAAGGATACAGACACAACCATGAAAACTCACTGAAATTCTCGGCGGGGATTGAGCTCCAGGTTCATCATGGGCTGACCAAATGAAGCTATCGGAGAACCCTTTGTCGCATGCAGGTTGTACGTGGGCTCTGATTGCTTGTCTTTCGTGTTCGCAGGGATGATGCTGCCTTCCGCTCCCGTGTTAATGAGGAAAGTGATGGAAGAACGTGGATCCTTAACGTAAAACAGGCAATTTGTTTGGTTGTTGATAGATGCGTTGGTCGTGCTAGTATTCTGCCCATTCGCTTTCCCTGAAGCAGATGAGTCGTGCCTAATGTAGAGAGCCCGAAAACATCTAGCTTTTCCACCATATTGGCGGTGATACCAACATAATTCTTTGGTGGATCTGATGTTATCTGACTGAGAAGGTGTAAGGAAAACGTTGCGCTTTCGTGCCGAAGGAGGCCTACTCGGTGTACGGTAGCCGAAATGTGGTCAGAGTTTGACAGTGGTACAAGCTGCTTCGAAGCCTTCACTGCTGTTATCCTGCTGCGAAGTAGCACAATTGCCTCATCTTCACGGTCAGATCTGCCTGACGAGTTGGAGAAAATATATGACTCGGTTTTCATCAGTGAGAATATATCACCGGATCTACTGGTCGTCTGCTGCGGGAGACGTTCGAACGCATCGTCTAGTTTAGTAGCAAGTTCTTTCAGGTGCCTATATAGGAACATACACAACCTTGCCGACAATGACTCTGGGAGACGTGTAAACCACAGCTCCTTCGGCCTTTCTCCTCTCAAAAATAAGGGAGCAGTGCTGCGCTGAAGTTTGCGGAGTAACGTAGGCGACTTGTGATCTCCCAGATTGAGACCAATGCGTTTGTTCAAATCGAGCCCGTGCTCTTGGCTGTAACTCCTTTAAAATCGCTTGCTTCATTGTTCCATACTTTGCCTCATTCGAGGGGAAGAGTAGAATTTTCGGAACCAGCGTCACAACCGATAAAGGAAGGTGAGGGACTAGCTGACTGTACCTTGAATGTAGTTATTTTCCAGTTCGAACTCGAATATCGCAAACTCATACACTGTGCTCTGTTCTTCTACGTTGTGAAACGGCTCAGAATCCACGTTAGATTTGTGAATCGATAAGTCCAAGAATGAACAAAAACACAACGAAACTATAAAAATTAGGCTAGAGAAATATAAATACACACATATCATCGAGAAAAAGGAATGAACTCTTCAAAAAATACTAACCACGAAAAAAGTTTAAGTTCGCACTTGCGAATCGGGGTCGCCTATTTGTAGGACCAGTAAATACTAGTCCGAGACGGTTCTCTCCATTGAGCGCGGATTTCAAAAAAGCAATAGAAGTCGGGTACAGCGGATTATATTAGATGGGCTACAAAATATGTGGACGGATGAAGCGACCAGGGGCAAACGTCAGTATCATGACACATCAAAAGCAAAAAGTGACAAAAACCGGATCTAGGTCAAGATGGCCTTGGTGTAAGGGAGGTTAAAAAAGAAATATTAATGTACAATTGGTTAGCAGTGAAATTGTACATAAAAGATGGTAGTTATCTTTTGCGGCGCTACAGATTCCAAGGTGTCGCCAAAAACAAGGAGCCAATGCGAGGCTTGAGGAAATAGTATTCGGTATCCAACTCAATGGTTTGGATTTAGCATGCTTGGGGAGCCCACCAGAAGTACTGCTGTCCCTGAATTCACGACGCGTATCCCTTCCGCAAAAGTATCCGTTGAAAAACAAGTATCCGGTTTGTGATCATAAGTGTACTTTAACAAGATGCCGGTTGAATCAATCAAACCAAGTACGGGATTACCAACCATCCGTATCCTCCACAGGGTTGAATCAGTGTTATGTAAACGTATGGGTCTGAGGAGAGTTTACCGAAAAGAATTCTTAACCCTGAACTGATTCCTGGTCTTGATTCATCTGATTATAATGGGTATATTGGCTGTGCTGAAAATCAGCATAGCCCGTGAATCGTTGGTGTTAAATTTGTCAGTCCCATGCAAAGGAGCAGGTCATTCGCAACCCACAAATCGACGACAGCTGCAAATGAATTTTTCAAAAATAGTCATATGTGGCTACGTACTGGCACCTGTCGTGTGGAGCAATACCTATAAGCACAACGGTTAGCACAAGCTTCTCAACAAAGCCACAACCAAACTGATGAAACTTAGATCATTATGCCGCAAGATCAAAAGCTTCGCTATATTGCTGCAGGTACATAAGACTCTGTTGCGCCTACAATGTTTAAACCAGACCGCCGAAATAAATGAAGAGAGTCGGGCACTTAAAAATCCTGAAGAAGTACTCACACGGATTCAGCTACTCGAAAGAAGAATTCCTACATCTCTTCAGCAAATTGAAACGCTGACGTTAGACTATGCTTCACCAACGCGTGACATTTGCCATATATGCCAGTCAAACAACTTTAGGTTTGCCACCTCCCTTGTCCATGATGCTCAGCTGTCCCAACACCACTCTGAAGAAGAACAACCGATGTGTTTGGCAGAATTCCTGTGATGCTGAGAGAGGCGCAGAGCGTCATCAAACCCATCAACCCGTCCGGGCCCAGCTTGCTTCCTCCCAGCTGTCATAAAGCATATTGGAAACAGATCTCTTTGTTGTTTCTTCGCTAACTACCACTCGCTCCTTATCTCCGTGAAATTAATCCATCATAATGCCTAAGCACAAATGTGGCCCGCGAAATGAAATGTCATGTTACCGCCCAATAAATCACAAATTTACTGTTTCCAAAGTCCTATAAAGAACGGTCAAGAAGAAGGTTGTCCGATTTCTTACGCGACAGAACCTGGTCAGCTATTCACAACATGACTTTCTCTCAAAGTGCTCCTGTATTCTTTGTCATGTAAGGATTTTCGATCATGTGACGACTGTGATTAATTGAGTAACAACAATCATCATTTGATGTACTCATGAGTAGGGGATTTTGATGTAATTATGTGAGGTCCATCGCATCCAGTTTCCAAATCAGATAGTCGTCCACATGCCCGGAAAAGCACTAGACTGCAGTTTCAGCCTGTTGGGCATCGTCAATAGTGCGCATCCATCGGATCCGTTAGGATTCGAACCCATGACGACTATCTGATTTGGAAACTGGATGCGATGGACCTCACATAATTACATCAAAATCCCCTACTCATGAGTACATCAAATTATATCCGCCCTAACAGTTTCTAAATGCTATTTCGTACATAGCTACTGTTAGTGGACGTCGTGTCTTTCGGGGCCAACCCTGTCCTCTGCAACGTTCGTAACTTGCATGGCAGTGGAGGATAAGACGCGCTATATCGCAGTTAGCTTGTAAATCATGACGGTCCTAAGCTGTCCCCCGTGGCCCAGTGGCATAAGCTGCTGACTGGCGGTTCAAGCCGCTGGTGGTCATGGGTTCGAATCCTAACGGATCCGATGGGTGCGCACTACTGACGATGCCCAACAGGCTGAAGCTGCAGTCTAGTGCATTTCCGGGCATGTGGACGACTATCTGATTTGGAAACTGGATGCGATGGACCTCCCATAACAATCATCGTTGTCGTATACGGGACCCAACCCAACATGGAGTGCTGTCATCCAATCAGACCATACAACTGTCCAGCCAATCATCACTAAGCTGGAGCCAACCAAACGATATACCCCACTGATTCTGGTAAACACGTGAACTTTCTGTTGACACTTTGTTGACTCTGCTTGTCAGTATCTCTTGATCCGCTGTATCAATACTACCGGTCCTTTCCACGATCTAATATTCTATCCACCTACTAGAACAGTTCTGGTTATATCAACTGGCGACGGAATTGGTAATTAAAATGGCAATTTCAACAGACGATCTCCTTGCAATTCTTCAACAACAGCAGTCGCAGTTCGAGGCCGCTCAGCTCCGTTTACTCGATACTCTAACGCGTAACCTCTCCCTGGTTTCCAAGGACAAGGCACCGCAGGATGCACATACCAACATAAAACCAATTGTTTCTACAATTCAGCTTTTCCAGCATGACGTTGCATCGGGTGTGACTTTTGAGTCCTGGTTCAAGCGCCATGAGGACATTTTAGTGTTGAGTTCGGTGGGAAGGAGGATTCATGGCGATCACGAACACTGCTTCGTAAGTTGGGGATCACGGAGCATGATCGTTTCGTATACTATATTTTGCCCAAACACCCACGCGAAGTTACTTTTGATGACACGGTTCAGTGCCTCACACAGATTATTGGCGAACGTTCCTCACTTTTCAGCACAAGTTATCATTGCTTAAAACTCGTCAAGCACTTCATGGAAGACTACATTACCTACGCAGGTATCGTTAACCGCGAGTGTGAGCGTTTTAAACTTGCATCCATGACCGAGACACAGTTCAAGTGTCTCATGTTTATTTGTGGTCTACAATCTCCGCCAGACGCGGACCTCTGCACACGTCTTCTCACCAGACTGGAGCAAGACCCAGGCATAACGTTGCAGAAAATGGCTGAGGAATGTCAGCGCCTGCTCAATTTGAAGCATGATTCCCGTATGGTTGAACAGCTGCAGATCAACATGGCAGATGTCAGACCGGTCAGAGCATACAAACAGGAGTTCAAAAAGCCACCAACAGCATGTTGGAACTGTGGCGCATGGCACTACGCCTCACAGTGCACTTTTCGCCGACATCGGTGCAATCAGTGTCAGCGCTTTGGTTACAAAGATGGTTTCTGCAAGCCACGCAACTCAACTATAGCTGACAATTCCAACAAACGGTTTCCGAAACCACCGCAGAAGGCTAGTCGCAGCATTGTTGCTAGCTATCAAGTCAATGCGACATCGCGAAGACGCTATCTAACAGTGAGTGTAAACGGGTATCCCGCGACTCTCCAGGTAGACACAGGATCGGACATCACGATTATTTCGCAAACGATTTGGGAATCCATCGGACGTCCTCCAGTTATGCCCACTCAACAGACAGCCCTCAGTGCATCCGGAACAACTCTCGGTTTGGTTGGTGTGTTACATTGCTTGGTATCTTATAATGGTCAAAAATTTGAGTCTATATGCTACCTCACTAACCAACCAGGATTGAATATTCTCGGCATTGACTGGTTAGGTAATTTCAATCTTTGGAGTATTCCGTTTGATGAAGTCTGCAAACTGACACTGGGCATCAGCATTCCTCCCGTAATAATCGATGCAGGGCTACAGCAGTCCATTCCACAACGGTTATTTCAGCGATATGCACTAGTTTTCCAGGAAGCACTTGGTCTTTGTAGCAAAATGAAGGCTCAGTTGCAGCTGAGAGCAGATGCTAAACCCGTTTTTCGTCCTAAACGTCCGGTGCCTTATTCTGCATTAACCAGTGTAGAACTAGAGCTGGATCGCCTACGGCTAGCAGATGTCATACAACCAGTAGATTACTCGGACTGGGCTGCTCCAATCGTAGTGGTACGAAAGGCCAATGGCTCAATTCGTGTGTGTGCAGATTTTTCAACAGGTCTCAATGACGCCCTTCAGACGCACAGTTATCCACTACCAGTCCCAGAAGACATTTTTGCCAAACTTTCAGGCGGTAGACTGTTTGTCAACCTTGACCTAGCTGATGCATATCTACAAATCGCCATTGACGATGAGTCAAAGGAATTGTTGACAATTAACACACACCGTGGATAGTTTCAGTTTAACCGATTGCCATTCGGGGTTAAAACAGCACCAGCTATTTTCCAGCAGCTTATGAATACCATGCTCACGGGCATTGACGGCGATGCAGCTTACTTAGATGATATCTTAGTGGTCGGAACAAGTCCAGAAGAGCTAGCAGTGTGGCTCGACCAAGTTTTGGATCGTATAAAAGAGTACGGATTGCGCTTGCGACCAGACAAATGCAGCTTACTTTTGCCACAACTTAAATATCTGGGGTTCATTATTGGTCAGAATGGACGTCGTCCCGACCCAGCCAATATTACAGCTATTTTAGAGGGTTGCCTGTACCGGGAGCCCAGAGAGCGATTCGAGAAGACGGATCGAGTTGCAGGGAAACTTTTATTGGTACAGTAAAAGATTCCCTGTTATCTAGCTATAAAAGAACGACACCGTGGACGCTCTAGCTAGGGGAACGGATCAAGCACAGCACACAGGGCAGTTGCGCGTTGCAACCGAAACGAGCGCCAAGCAAAAATGGCGATGAGCAAGTAAAGCATTCGAACTCAACAAGCAGTTCAACAAACCACACCGGTTGCCTAAGTGTACAATGAAAGAATTTTGGTTAGAATTTTACACAAGCAAACCGGGGAATCTCCAGACTGCTACACTATTGTTAACATGCCGGCACCAACAGACGTCGGTGCGCTACGCTCTTTTCTTGGCATGGTTAACCACTATTCTTATTTTCTCCCGAAAATGCATCAACTGCGAGCACCTCTAAACGCATTACTCATGAAAGAGGTCAAGTTTACTTGGTCAGCAGAGTGTCAAGCAGCGGTAGAGCGGATTAAAGATATGCTGACTTCCGATCTCCTTCTCACGCATTACGATCCCAAACTACGATCTATCCTTACTGGCCTACGATTTTAGCATCCATTACCAAGCGACCACAGATTTTGGGCAAGCCGACGTGTCGCCTCGGTTAATTGCGGATCATGCAACAGACAACAACGAGACAGTGATTGCTAGTGTTAAAGTGGATCAGGAGATCAATCGGGTAATTTTCGACACCGCGAAATCCCTACCAGTCTCGCTAAAATCCATCCAGCAATACACATCGCAGGATGCCGTACTACGTAAGGTGATGAAGCACGTGAAAGAAGGTTGGCCATCGAGGGTATCAGATGCAGAACTCATCCCCTATCAACGGTGCCAAAACAGCTTATCAATCGTTGACTTGTGTTTGCTTTTCGCTGAACGTGTGGTTGTTCCCTCAGCTTTACAACGGCCCATTCTCACCCAACTTCACAAAGGCCATCAAGGAATCACCCGCACCAAAGCATTAGCTAGAAGTTACGTGTATTGGCCAGGGATGGATGATGATATCTCACACCGGAGTACGCGGTGTGAAAACTGTGCGCTCACGCAAAAATCACCAAACAAATTGGCCCCTGTGTCATGGCCAGCAGCGACCATGCCGTGGTCAAGAGTACATGTAGATTTCGCCGGCTCAGTAGATGGTAAATCTTATCTCATCGTGATTGACGCTTATAGTAAATGGCCAGAAGTTGTAACAATGCCGACGACCACTGCAGTCGCAACAATTAGACAGTTGCATCAAATATTCAGCCGATTCGGAATGCCGGAGACATAATGGCCACAATTTCCTAGCGAAGAATTCGCAACATTTTGTCCTTCCAATGGGGTGGCACACATACGCACACACCCCTTTCATCCACAATCGAACGGTCAGGTTGAGTGATTCGTAGACACGTTCAAGCGTGCACTTATCAAATGGCGAGGCGACGGCCCCAAAAACGATTGCATACACACATTCCTAATGATGTATCGAATCACACCACATCCCTCTTGTAACGGAAGGTCACCGTCGGAAATGTTGTTTAACCGTCAGATCAGGTTAATTTGGGACATAATTGGTCCGGAGGTGAGAGAATTAGCCAATCCGGAAACAACAGAATCTGCCCAACCCAAACAGCACGTAATAGCGAGAACATTAAAACCAGGTGACTTGGTATGGACAAGAGACTTCCGGCCGTCGCAAAACAGATGGACACCAGGTGTAATCACCAGACGGATTGGTCGAGTCACGTACCTAGTAGAGGTCAACGGTCAGGCATGGCACAGGCATATTAACCAGCTCAGACACCGCTCTGATAACAATCAGTATTTACCTCGTCACAATTCCCAGTTTGATTTTCAGTTATTACTGGAGGAGTTCTCATTGTCGAAATCGACAAATGCAAATTCGGATCGAGTGGAAAACGAAAGCCAAGCGTTGATGTCAGATTTGGATGCGGTTCACAGACGCCCCGTACGCAACCGCCGACCACCCGATCGTTTCATCTATACCCAACGGCTGGCAACTACAGGCAGACGTGTCAAAAGAAGAGGGAGATGTCGTATACGGGACCCAACCCAACATAGAGTGCTGTCATCCAATCAGAACATAACTTTCTAGCCAATCACCACTAAGCTGGAACCAACCAAACGATATACCCCACTGATTCTGGTAAACACGTGAACTTCCTGTTGACACTTTGGTGACCCTGCTTGTCAGTATCTCTTGATCCGCTGTATCAATACTACCGGTCCTTTCCACGATCTAATATTCTATCCACCTACTAGAACAGTTCGGGTTATATCAATCATCATTCTCCTGAACATACAAAAGGCGTTCGACCGTGTGCCACACAGTCCACTGCTGTCCGTGGTACAGTCGTATGGCAGCGGAAATCCTATTCTATGCTGCCAAAACTCATATTAAAACGATCAAACCCAGAGTCAGAATAGGTCAGCTGTACTCTACATCAAAACTAATGACCTGCGGTGTCATCTAGGGAAGTGCACTGGGTCCACTGCTACATAAACAACCTGTGCGACCACATCAAACACGGACGCTCATTTCTGATTGCAGATGGCGTCAAAATGGTCCAGTCATTTCAACCAGGACAACTACAAGTACCCGGGAAGCAGACGCGATCTCAGACTGATACAGCCAGTGACCAATTGAAGGACTTCGCAGAGTACAGAATGGACCAATCTGGAAATTAGGTTGATAGTGGGAAGCTTTTACTTATAATGAGCCACTATAGAAATTTGGTGGCACATTTCTCCATGAGGATATCAAATATGCAAGTTGTCCCTTGCTTTTTGTAATTGGAATGTCTGTTGGAGATAATTACTTGTGTGTACCGTGGAAGATAGGGTACCTAGCAACTTGCTAAGATAGGTGGCGGGAGCATCACCGAACTTCGCGATTATCGCTGATTTGAACCTCCCACATGCTGATTGGGAACATGCTGCTAGCACCGTAGATGCACTGAAGGAGGAACTAGTGGATTGCGTTCACGAGAGTGCTTTTATTCAGCATGTTAGCTTTCCGACCTGAAGACGCATTGGCTGCTCTCCTTCGGTCTTTGATGTCTTAATAACCAGATATGGTCATGTGTCAATAATACATGCAGAAGCTCCCGTAGGTAAGTGCCCACTGCGATCTAATCTTCTCACTGAACACTGAGAGGTTTTCCGCAAAATTTCGATTGGAGTGGAACCTCGGCCGCATCAGCCTTAATCAGTCACAGGACAGAGGGCTACAAATCAACTGGGTCCCCGAACAAGCGCACACCACATTAGAACAACGATGGAGCGTAGTCAGAGATGCACTTGTTCAGCTCCTGGACGAGTTTGCTCCGTTGCGCTGCAGGCGACATAACAAAAAGTCCCGCTGGTGGCGTTGGAGAATTGAGCTGGCGATAAGGAGGCGAAACGATTCCAGGAGAAAGTTCCAGGAGTCTGGAGGGTTCAAACGTTGGTTGAGTTATAAGAAATGCCGGAACTTGGCAGTCAAATAGCAAAGGCATGTGAAATGCTGCTATGAGTTTAGGTTACCTCGGAATGCAAAAGCAAGACCGAAGAGGTATTACAGTTATGTTCAGTCGAAGGATTCTTTGAGAGAGGGGGTTAGTAACTTAATCATGGATGATAGTAGTCACGCTACAGAGAATGCGGAGAGAGCAAAGTGTTAATGTGCGTCTTTCGGGACGTATATTGTGAGGATGACGAGTGTCCTATCCCATCGCAGCCTCGTCATTAAGGATGATGTTAAATGATCCACTAACTACATCAGAGGTCCTTGATGTCTTGATAAAGTTGAACCCCTACGAATCGACTGAACCTGATAATGTATATCCTGCCGATGTTAAGCCGATCGTCAAAATACTCCAGCTTCCTGTCTTGGACCTGTTCAACATGTCACTTAGGGAAAGTCGGTTGCCACAAGACTGGAAGGAGGCAGCCGTTTGAGAAATACAGAGAGGGGACTCTAAATCTGTCCCTGTCAACTATAGC